AAAAACAAAGCCAGCGAATAATGTGAAATAGCCAAAGAAATTAAGTGGAATGAGAAAGAAGGAGACGAGAAAAGAGCTTTGAGAAGTGACAGCGGAGAAGGAGAGACACGGAGAAAGTCAAACTAAAATATAACGAAAAAGTCGAACAACACATGGCGTATACGCAATATTCCTTTGATTTTGACATAGAAATTTAATCATCTTTTCCCGGGAAAAAACCCTCTAAGCTGATTACGGTCTCTTTTTACTAATTTCTTTCTTATTTTCCTCAGTTTATTTCAGCCTTTTTTTCTTTTTTTTTAGTATTTCCGTGGACCAAGTAATTTATTGTTTGTTGTGCGTAATTAACCCGCTTCGTGGTCGCGTTCTTGGCTTTCACACTTTTTGTAGCCTTTTGCCTAATGACGTTATGCACGTTTTGAGGCAGAATTCACCCTCTTATATTCTGAAAAAAAATTTTATTTCATTTTGGTGATTTAAGTCTTATCTGCGTGTAAAGTCGTCCACGTAATTAGTTTCATTCCAGCCTCCTCCCTTTTTTTTTTGGGCCCCCAGTTTGCGACCTGTGCAACTTTTTCCCCTTTTTTCGCTTACATTTCACAAAATGTGCGCAGCGTGGCTGAAAATGTGAGAGAAAGGCGGTGGGAGTGGCAGTTGACGGGGCCAAATGTCAGCTTAGCCCTCGCAGGCAAAGCGAAATGACAGGCAAATTAAAGCTGAGTGGACGGGTTGGAGTTGGCAGCCAGCAGACAATTTATCAGAGATTCACATAACATGATAAAGGTATAAAAATAGCCAACGCAAAAAAAGAAGTAAAAAGTACAGGAAAATCTCCTCTGACAGTTACTGGAAATTATTCCAAAGGGAACAAGTTTTTGACTTGATCGGGGAATTTTTAAATCCACAAAACAAGCTTTTATTAAGTTACTTTGTAAAACCAAAATGTTGTTGAGTAGAAAAAATTTAAAAGGGCCGGTATTTAAAACGTAACTTAAATTGTAATAATTTTATAATAGGATTGTGACCCGTAACAAAAATCTTTTGAGCTTGGTTTTTTGGTTTTTGATATGGTTATTTTTGTTTTTATTTTTACGAAATCCTACATTGCAGAATTAAATGAATCGTTGTTAAAATATAATTGAACGTTTCTTTACGCAAATCTGAATATTAATTACTAAATTTGGTAAACTTAAAATAATATTGTGCTCTAACTGTAGAGTGTAATAAAACCATTTAATAAAATGCGAAATTATCTTTTTCCTAAATACTTTATTTGTTCACTGCCAATTAAGTTCCCTAAGCAAGTAATACCCATTTAATGCGCTTGCAACGAGTTCTCTTTTGTCCCTTAGAGAATCAGTTTATGTTTTTTCTACTAATGCTTAAAGTTTCCTTAACGGGCTTAAATAACAAGAATGGTAGACAAAGCTCTAAGAGGGAATTGTCTTGAAGGAGTTCTTGTTCTTAGGCAGCCTGTTGCCAATTGTCGAGCAAACAACTATTTACTTGACATTTGCAAAGGAATGTGTTCCGTTGTGGACCCCTCTTGACTGGCATTTTCTTCTTTCATGCAGGTCCCTTTATTGTCTTGTTTGCCTCTTTTCCCCTGATCTTTTCTGTTTAAGCAAGGACTTGAAAGAATTGTTCAACTGCTGCATGAAGTACATATAAAAAAATATAGCCCCATATAAAGTGTTCGGTTTTATAGGGTCTTTAATTAACTAGTACGCAAAATACAGAAAAACTAAGCTAATCTAATTATACCCTTGCAGAGGGTATTATAATTTCAGTCAGAAGTTTGCAACGCAGTGAAGGAGACATCTCCGACCCTATAAAGTATATATATTCTTGATCAGCATCACTAGGCGAGTCGATCTAGCCATGTCCGTCTGTCCGTCTGTCCGTCCGTCTGTCCGTCTGTCCGTCTGTCCGTCCGTTTATATGCGAACTAGTCTCTCAGTTTTAAAGCTATCTGCATGAAACTTTCCCAAAAGTTGTCTTTCTATTGCAGGTAGTATATAAGTCGGAACGAGCCGGATCGGACGACTATAGCATATAGCTCCCATAGGAACAATCGGAGAAATAAATGAAAAAAAATTATAACTTTTCTGTTTTTTAATTTTTTGTTTTGTTCCTCGACATAAAGCAATGGTTAAATATTTCAGAATTATGGTAAAAATTTCATCAAAATCGGACGACTATAGCATATAGCTCCCATAGGAACAATCGGAAAAATAAATGAGAAAAAAATTATAACTTTTCTGTTTTTTAATTTTTTGTTTAGTTCTTCGACATTTAGTAATGGTTAAATATTTTCGATTTACGGTTTAAATTTCATCAAAATCGGACGACTATATCATATAGCTCCCATACAAATAATAAAAATATATAAAAGAACAATCAAATAATTAAGCTGCAAATCGTCATAGCTTCAATGTTTTTAAACATATACGCAAGTAAATCATAATTTTAATGTTTTCAAAAATATTTAATTCTTGCGATAGCTGCAAGGGTATATGAACTTCGGCTTGCCGAAGTTTGCTTTCTTTCTTGTTTTATATTAATTTAAAACTAATAAAATATTTAAAGGATATGAGACTTTTTAATTTATTAGCTTATTTATTTACAGATATGTATTATATAGTCCGATGGCTTAAGAAGTAGTGTCTTACTCTGCAGTTCATGAAAAGTAAATTCTCCAGTAATATACTTATAGTTCGGATCATTAAAATCAGTCCCCAAATTTAAAAAAACTTTGCCATTTATCAAATGCTACCTATTTTTATCTGTGCATTTGCTCTTTTCAGTTCTCCAAGGTATTGATGTCAACAACACGTTGCAGCAACTTCTCACCTGCCTCCTCACCTGTCTGTTCCACTGAATATTTCACCGCTCGACTGACAGTCAATTGGAGTTCCCCGAAAAAAAAGGAGAGATGAAAAATACATATATAAATTGCAACATAAATTATACGCACATGGCTGGGGGAAATCGAGCTGGGATAGCTTGTCCCATGTGCTTAAGCGGAAATCGTGTACAAAATGAAAATGCAGGAGGAGGAAAACTCAACCTCTGACCTCCACCCCCTCCCGAATTTCGCTTCCTTTTTCTCCTGTCGCCGGCGCCATTCGTTGCTGTTAACATTTCCGCTTTATTTGTCTGTCTGCCCTTTCACCCTGCCGCTTTATCTATGCCCGCTTTTCAGCTCGACATTCCACATTCCACATTCTACCTACATTTGCTCAGAGTTTTGTTGCTGCAGCTGCAGTTTTATTTTTGCAGCTCTCAGCTCCGTTTTTATCTCTTTTGTGTCGCCGCCTGACGTTGTCTAATGTTTTAAATATAAACTCGAAAATAATGCAGAAAATAAAAACATAAATCAACGTAAATATCGCTTTTGGATTTCTTTTCAATCTGCCCAAGTACAGATAGAGGTGGTGTAACTTTTCCCTTTTGTTGGTTTGACTTGTTTTGGAAACCATAAATTATTCACACACAAGCTTATCTCTTAATGCGATAGTCTGAGTTCTACTCGCTTTTCTCTTTGCATTTAGAAGTAATCAGGATGCAAAGGAGACAAGTGGAAGGATAAGCACCTTGCGTTCAAAAGTTGTTCAAAAAATGGTCACAATTGATTTGTCAGGCTAAAAGAGGATAAGCTGAATCCGAATTGGTTTTGACTATCGGCGTTTTCAGAAAATACAACTCAATAATAATAATAGGAAACCGTTCACTTTTCGTTTTATTGCTTTTGTAAATTTTCAATATTTCTCTCCTATTAATTTTACGATTTATTTAAAAGAGCTTCCGAGCAAAGAAACACAGGGTTATTCAATATAAATACATAAAATTTATATAATTTGAGCGTTCCGTAGGAAACTAGCATTTGAATTGTGGTCTACTTTTTAAGTTCTGATTGATCTCTATGACCAAAGCAAATGTAACAAAGCCTTACTTTCATTATTTAATTCGGTATAACTAAGTAATCAGGACTGCCAGGTGGCAGTTTCCATCGCTTGGAACTGTCAATAGTATCCATCGACTACTCATTGCATTATCATCATTTGGATCTGTCTGCTGCTGACTTGCTCACAATTCCCAACTGACCAAGGGAAAGTGACAGTCGAATTTCCCGTTTAGTCTGGCACCCAGGTGAGCGATCAATCAAACGTGGCATGCAAAGTGAGCCTCCAAGGAGTGGGCCGTTCTCCTGGCTCCTGGTTGCTTGCAAATTGAAACGTGAGATGTGGATGGGACGACTACGCATCCGTCCTCTCCAGTTACCACCTGGCCATTTAGCCGCACGAAGCAGTTAATTAAATGATGAAAGCATTGACGTGTCGCAGGGACCAAACGGCCAGCAGGAGGAGGACTCGTTGGAGAAGTGTTGGCATGCGGGGCCGAAGACTGGGAGCCTGGACTCCATGTCCTTGGGCAGGACTCGCAGCTTGACAGACGCACGTTCGACCAGTCCATAATGCAATATAGAGTGTGAAACTCACCGTGAGAAAGCCACGGACTCAGGTAACAGTGTGGAGTTTAGGTGGCAAAAGTGGTTTACGGAAAACTAACTATTTTGGAAAATTAAAGTCACCAAGTCTGATATTTGTTTAAAGTTTTACAGGAAACTTTTACTCTGATACAAAAATTGAATAGTAAAAATAAAAATCTGACTATTGAACATGTTATACTTAATATTTAAATTAAATATTAAATCACAATTTTAATTACAGTGCCTAATAAATTGCATAATTAAATTTTAAAATATTTTAATAAGTTTTAAATATATATATGATTTCAAATAATTTCTATTTCCTTTAAATGAATTTTTATAATTAATTATGGCTTTAATTCAAATTAAATTTTCAGATATTAAAGTCAATTCCGAAAAAAGTCAAATTAAAAACCGAAATGCATGAAAATTAAATCGAAATATATTTTAATTGAGTGCAAAATGGAATGAATTTCTACGTTTTATTTTTTAACAGGTGTACGACAAGTTTATTTTTAATTATAAAGCTTGATTGCTAACTAGCAATTTCTATGCTTTGGTATAGTTTTTAATTTTATTATTTAAAATTTCTTGGTAGTTAATGGACCACCGGTGGAAAAACTTATCAGGGAATGTATATATTTTATTATTTATTAGCCAAGGCTAATCAAGAGATGTAGAAGATGTTGTCAAGAGCAAGTCTAACCAAAAAGTTTAAATGCAAAGTAAAGATAAATCAGGAGGTGATGGCACCACTGTGGTTGCCCCGGGTGGGCTTGGATTGGACTGCGATTCTCTGTTCATCGAGGTCACGTAGATGCTTCAGTTGCATGTCACACGCCGCTTGATTGGTTGCCTGATTCGTTGATTGCCCTGCTCGCTGCTCACGTGACAACGCGTTGCCCTCGGGCATTGTCCAAGGATCCGTACCGGAACAAGGACAACCGAACCCCGAACACGGAGCCTGGAATCCTGCTCCACACACACACACACGCACCCATATACTCACCTGTCACTCCATCAGTCGATCTCCGTGAACGTGTGTGTGTGTGTGTGTGTTCATTCTAATTTTCATTTCACTTCCAGTCGAGGAACGCGAACGCAAACTAACCGAACCGATGTTGGCCAAGTCAGTTGGCCAGTTTGCTGATTTGATTGATGGCTGGGCTCTGCTGCTAATGAACTTACATAAGTGATACCGTTAACAAGTTTTGGCCCCGTGTGTTGCTGCTGTTGGCCCAACAATTTCTCATGTTGCAAATGTAAACAGTATTTGGCCCTCTGGGCTGCAGGGGAAACGCTGTTAATTAGTAAAGTTGATAAATTCACGCAGATTTAACATATCAAGTGGGTAGCAAAGTTTGCTTTTTCCCTTCTCTCTCTGATGTTGGCAGTTGTAGATGAAGTTTTTCTAGTGGTTTTCATTTTTGGACCACCGTGTAGGTATTTTTTTTTGTGTTACCTTCATAAACTTGTTGACCATGTCATGGGAATTTTTGCCCGGCAGTGGTTGGCAGTTAACATGTGGCTCCCTGTAAGCAGAGAAATATGTGAAAGTTGATAAGTACATTTCGTATACGCAGTGTTGTCCAATAGGGAATATTTAGTTGGCAAAGCTTGCACTTGTGGCTTAGCTTTGAGTCTAATTAGAGGCTAATTGCCTGGTTCTACTTTTATTTATATGCTTATTAATTTAGATTACATTTTATTTGTGATTTATAAAATAAAACCCTATATTCCTTTTTGCTAAATAATTCTTTTGTCACGCAACAAATTAATTGTTTGCTTTCTATCTACTAATTGGATTTTGGTTACATAAGCACATAAAAGGTAAGTCTCAAATGAATTGAATACAATCCGTTTGCTTAGATGCAAGACTTTATTTCACTAACTGTCTATTTCCTACTTATTTATTTAGTATCTATTTTATGTGATTATTTATTTCGGTATACTCTGCTGGCTTCCTAATGAATTCAATTCAATTAACCAACTTTCATATTCAAGTTTTCCTGCCTGTCAACATTTCAGCCTGTCAAGCACTCTCCACCTAACTTCTTTGCAGCAACTTTGTTGCTTTAGAGCACATGTGAGTGGGCGAAAGCCGAGTCAACACTTGACAGTCAAACGATAATTTTCTTAACTAAATTGTCCAGGGCAAGGCAAACAGAAGTTGGGCAAACAAATAAACTCATCGAAGACATCAGGCCATTAGGTTCACTTAAAGAAGTTGGGCAAACAAACGGAGGTGAGTGGAAAACAGGTGGAAACGTGTGGGTGGGACAAAAACCACAAAGTTTCTAAGAAGCAAATCGCTTCAACTTTTGCATGTTCCACCGAGCATTTTCCTCTTAGTTTTTTGCTTGTTTGTTCTTCAATAAAAGGTTAACTCCATAACAACTCCAAGACTCCAACTGCATTGACTGACAAGTGGTGTTTTTCCCCGTATTTTTCCTTTTTTCGCGCTTGCCGACCCAAGATTTTGCAGCTCCAAGGCGAGACAACATAAATCATGAACAGACACACAACGGAAAACTGGTTGAAAGTGCTGGGAGCTGGCCACAAAACTGCGGCGGAAAAGCCGCAGTGGAAGAAGAAGGAGCAGCTGGAAAAACCGCAAAGCGTTTTTGGTCTTTTGCTGTTTTGGCGGTGGTGCTGGCGCTGGCGGAAAACTTGCCACTGGCCATGGCAGAAATCGCTTCAAATGGCTTTAAAAGGCCATCAACTCGCAGAGAGCTCGACTCTAGAGTTTTCCTCGCCGAGCGGCAAACTTTGTTTGTGGCAGCTGCAGTTTGTCTGTGCAAATTGGCGATGGCAACTAAATTGAAAAGTGCCTGGCTAAACGCCCGAAAGTAGGCAATGGTTTCTGCTTCTGAGCAGGATTCATTTCATTTCAGTTTGCACCAACCGCAGAAAGGATGTTTTTGTTTAAAGTTCCCGACTGCTCGGGTTCCTTTTCTTTTTTCGACTGTCTGCCCTGCACATTTCCTGTACTCGTTCGGGTTTTTCCTCTTCCTTTTTTAAGGGTACCAGCATGCCAGGATGTCTGGCCATTGAAATGGTTTCTCTTCGCCCTTCAAGACACTATTAATTTGAGTCGTTTTGCTCGGTTCAGCATTTCATTTAATTTTTTTTATGTTTCAATTTCGTTTCGGCATCCGCTTGATTTGTGGCTTGTTATCGTGATTTGGCTTGGTCTAAGAAAATTAAATGTTTTCGTTAAATTCTTGCATATTTAACTTGCGGTTCTATTTGTATTGTGTAGTAAATATAAATTAGAGCTCTTTTTTTTTATTGTGTCGTAAATATAAAAACAGCAACAAAAATTCACGCTGCTTTATATATTTTAGAGTCTCCTATTCTTCAGATATCAAAGAGATTTTTTGTAAGTCAATATTTTTGCAACGCAACTAAAAGAAATGTATATGAAATATCTAACCAGATTTCCACTTTTTAGCTATTAAGAGCTAAAAGCTTGAAAAATCTCTGGAGCTTTATTAGAAAAGAGTTCCTTTACCGCAACTATTTTTGTAGCATACTTTTCCCGGTCTAGTTCAGTCAAAGGCGAACGCTAATTGAAATTCCTCTCTCAGAAAAACGGGACAGAAATGCGGAGAAAATACTATCTGAACAATACACAAATCCCACACATGGCAAATGACTATCGATGCATCCGGCAGCTTTGGCAACTTCCGGTCGACTGACCCGACTCCAGATTTCTATTCGGGGCATTCAATGAGCGCGACAGATTAGCCGCCCGCCAACCACAAAAAGCTAGAAAAAGCCGGGAAATGTTAGCCGGGAAATGGTAGCCGAAAAGCGGGCGTACTGGAGGCAGATGGTGGGAGATATGGATAGATGAGACCGACAAAAGCGACAGAGTCCGTAATGATGCGGAAGTGGACAAAAGGCGGTCACAGCCTCACAAAAGCCAGAAGCTGTAGCTGTAGCTGTAGCTGCCAATTCCACAGCCCATGGTAATGGCAAAAAGAGCATTCTAAAACTGCGGTCAATTGAAATGGCAATCAAGTTAGCGGGTACGTCCTTGTCAAAAGGACACATGCACAGCATGGAGAACTGAAATTGGATAGATGCCCTCCCATTTGGTGACATTCACACCGCAGAACAAAGCCAGCCAATAATTACAAAGGACATGCCAATTCAGCTGCGATTTATAGGATATAAGAAGGACTTATTCAGCTAAAAATTCTGAAAAATTCACTTATTTTTAATAAAAGTCAGCAATTGTTGAATATAATAAAATTTAATATAACAAGCATCAGGTTTAGGAGGTAAACTTTTGAAAAAAATTGTCCCAGCTTTGTATTTTGTATAATTCTTTTCACAAACTAAATTAAACATTGTACAAATTTTTATGTCTGCCTAAGTTACTTTTAAACAAAAGCATTTTTTTGTTCTCTAAATTTTTTAAGAGCTAAGGAACCTTAGACCACTTGACCGGAAATGGCTTTTCTAGATTGATTTTATATTTATTGCCTTAGCCTATGCAGAAATTTTCCAGCGGTAAATGCGAAATCAGATAAAAATGTAGTATTTGCAACCGTTTCCTGCACTTTATTTGAATGTACAAAGTGTATGCAAAAGTTGGAAATTCAAGTGCGCTCCTTTTCTTTTACCAAAGTCGTAATTTAATGTGCTTGGCACTCGGCCTTTTCCCTTATAAGTGGGAAATTCTTCACCCAGTTTCCCGAGCACTTTAAGCCCGATTATGGTTGTGGCTCCAATTTTTTTTTGTTAGCGCCTTTTGTTTGGCCGTGCTCTTTTTGTTTGCTTCGCACGTATCACTGCACAAAGGAAAAGGGAGGGAGGTCATTACGTGCCCAGCAGAGTGTGCATGTGTGTGTGCGAGAGTTTTCTGCACTCCATGTGTGAGTGCGCCTGCAATAATGATTGGAAAGTTTCGCTTTGCAGTTGGAAATGGAAATATACTGCAACCAAACACGCCCCCAGTCGTAAATATTTGGCAGGCCATGGGGCCATTTGCATAACAAAACTGCATGCGGCGTAGCCATTAAATAATTAGAAATGTTCCTTTTCCCAATGCATATCTCGACCGGCGAGGGGATGGTGGCCCAAACTTTGTGCACCGCCTTGGCCATTAAAACGCAATCAACTTTCGACATCATTGGCGCCAAAGCAAAAACCACAAAAAGTTTTAGTTTTTGGACCACAATTTTAAATACCCTTTAAAAATAAATATATTTTAAAATTTAATTCCTAACCCCCAATTTCTCAAGTCAAATTGAAAGGTATTGTAGTCTCACAAATCGGAAAGAAATTCGGAAAAATAATCTTGAAATAGAAAAGTAGCCAAACATATTATAATTAATATGAACATAACCCCAGTTATGAGTTTTTAGTCAAATAAACTCTTACATGATGTTGAGAAAGTAATGATTTCAAAACTGCAATTAACTTAATGTCAAAGCTTAACCTGACAATGAGAAATCCTTCCTAAGTTTATCATTGTATATATGATTCAGTAATTTCATATCCCTTTTCTTGGATACGACTTCTGTTTATTATATTTGCATTAATGTTGCATCTGAAAAATTTATCTTTTTTATTCCGACATATTTAAAGAGTCTAACCTAAAGTACAGGGTATTCCTCAAGCTTTGGCACAGCATTTGGGCCGTAAAGCGCCCAGGGTTGGCATTCCCATTTTGAGGTTAGTTGCTGTCATAAATTTTTAGTGCCCTGACTTGGCTTTTGTTTTGGAACTGCTCTGCCCTTCGTTTTTTTCGCAAGTAAATTCTTTTGTTCGTTCGCCTGCTCTAATTGGCAGCATTTGATAAATGCAATTGACTTGCACTTTTCAGTTTTTGTACAGTTTTGTTTTTTTGTGCTTCACTGGCTCAATTTTAATTGCTCGTTAAATAGTTTTAATGGGTGCGTGTCGCTTTATGGACTGCAGCGCCATTGTTGAGTCATTGCGAGTGCATTAAGAGCCAAAGCCTTAAAGCCGGGCCATAACATTTTGGCCAAAAGCTAAGCCAATCTAACGCAGCCGGGGGTGATTTTGTAGCGCGTGTGGAAAATTGTGAAAAAGCAAAAGAAAAAACTTGTTGGAAAATTGTCAACGACAAGGAGCGACAACCACAAGTCGAATTGACTTTGGCGCTTTTGGCTTTGACACGTTGACATACAATAAAGGTATTTGCCTTGGCCACGCCCTAAGCTCAGCCCGCCCCCTCATACAGCTTACAGCGATTGTCACATGGAATTTTCATCACCCGAAACGGCGACGTGTCACTCAATCCTGTGAAAAGGAGGCAGGAGCAAGAGAAGAAAAATCCTGGCATGAGTGGCTCATGTCATCATGTATATTGAACTTAGCGAACGGTTTCTTCGTTCTCCCGTATCTTTAAATCCAAGAATCGCTGGGCGTATTCTCTTTTTATAATCGTTAATTTAAGAACAAACCGATAAAAAAACAAATTAATAAATTTTATCCATTTCATATATAGTTTCTTATTATCTGCTTTTGCCACAGAATCATTTGAATGTTTATATAAACAAAATATTTGTATAAAAGTATACAACAATGTATTATAAGTCCGATGTACTTTTTCCATTCCATACTTTAGACACCTTTTAAAATCATTTTAAAGCCCTTGTGGTTTTAATGTCTTTTTCTAGGATTATTAATTAGCAAAGTGTATACGTTTCTCTAAGGGGTGTACAACGTTCGATAGACTGTTTTTCTTTTTCCTTTGAATTTTTCTTTGCCATAAGCTTTTCTTTTTCCCTTTTTTTGGCCTGCGCTGGTTTCACACTGATTACACAAACGTGAGTAAGCTGCTTTCAGCATCGCGTTCCACATGCAAACATCAGTTCATGCATTTATTCATGTACTCACTCATTCATTCATTCACTGCTTCGAGAATGTAGTCATTCATTTTCATCATTTGTATGTTGTTAAGTCAGCAAAGGGAAAGAAAAAAGACCTGGGGAAAAACTTAACGCACTTTTTTCTGATTTGCACTTACCCAACCCCTGATTTTCTTATCTGAGCTTGTGAGTGTGTAGGATTTCCTTGAAGTTTTCTTTTCTCGTTGGTCATGGCAGCAGATTGAACCTGGCTAACTTTATTCAGCTTGCTTTTAGGCCCGGACTACAGGAGCCGAAGTTTGTTAATAATTTTAAGTGATTTACCAGAATGAAAACCAACAGTTTTTTAATTGCTCTTTCAGGTTGAAGATATTCGGTGAACACTTTTTCCCAGAAATGAAAGGCCTTAGTTTATTTCTAGCTAAGTTTGCAATAAATTTGCGTCAGCACTTTTGGGCTCTTCCAACCATAAATATTCTTGGAAAACTGGTTAAAAATACCTTTATCTATTCATTTTATTTTAAGAATAATTCTTCGTAATCGAATTCAATTCCTGCTTCGATTCTTCGTTTTCGAATTAAAGCCCTAACGAATTTCTAATGGTATTCAAAGCCAAATCATTCTGAAATCCCAGCTGAAAAATGGAAAATAGTCTTGGGAAATGAATGCTTTAATTGACGAACAAACCAACTGCCACACAGGTACACGCACAGATCAAATTTCAATATGCTAATACCGAAAAAAAAAAACAGAATAGAGACTCTGTGGTAGCCTTGTGGCATTTTTAGAATGCAAATTAACGCCCGAGATGGGATTCAAATGAAAAATGCTCCTGGCCAGAAATAGAATATTGATGTTATCCCCAAGTACACCAGTTAGTTGCTGTCGTTGTGTGGTTATCAATATGCCCAATATTCCAATCTATAACACATCCACACACGCCAGCTGACATACAAAGAGCTACACTCGCATATTGTATCTGCATTTATGAAAGAGCCGAAGTTTGGTGGGGGGAAAACGGCAGCTGAAACTATCAAAATGCATGCCAAGAGGCAAACAACAAAACCAGGCAACACGAGCAGCCGCAACATGGCAAACATGAAACCGAAACCGAAAACTGTAACTAAAACTGTGGGGAAAATCACCTCCCAAGCCGCCCACACAAATGCTTACTCCAGGCAGCCAAATTGAAAACAAAAAAGCAAGAACGGGCAAAATTTGCATGCATATTTACAAACTTTCGTTCGGAAAAGTCAAAATGATGGCAGTACAGTTCGCAAAAAATATACAGTTTTTGAAGACTCTCAATCCCGAAAAAAATCATAATAAAGTTAGTGGCATGTAGAAATTTTTTTTGTAAAATCTTAAATTGGAAATTTTAGCTTGTGCACTTGGAACTTTCATTAAAATCAAAAATTCATCGAAAAATCGTGTAGTGAAAGAGTAGGGTTGCACAATTAACGCTTAAAAAAATTAAAATTGTTTGTTAAGGTAAATACATATTAAGGCTTTTTCCTGGCAAACCAAATAATATTTCGTTTTGCCACTAAAAGCCCTAACAGTTACTTTAGAAAAGACAAAATTTTTTTGGGTTCCTTTTTTGAGTTCAATGCTTAGACTTTAAGACCTTATTTTTTATAGTGTTAGAGCGCCAGCATTTACATTTTTCCGCTCCTTTTGTGATCCTGCCTCTCTGTCAAGCCGCATTTGATGTTCGTTTTGGCAACTATTTGCAAATGCAAATTGCGAACATGCAACAGGGACATGTTGCGTAAATGTCAATGTTGCAACAAAAAAAGAAACTCAACCAGGCAACAACCAAATACACATGCAAATGTCTCTCTGACAATTTCTCGACGGAATTCCGCACATATATATGCATGTGGGGGAGTACAGATATAGCTTCTATGACGCTGATAAGCAGTTCTCACCGGAGGGTTTTCCTCTAGCTGACTAACAAAAGAAAATAAATTTTCAAATGGCTGGATGGCTGGCACTTGATTGACAGTAAAGTTGGACCGCCAATTGCATGGCATATGTGTAGGCGTGTCCATAACGAGGAGGCGGAGAACTAGCAAACGGAATTTTCTTTTGGAATATAAGAAAATTAGCTGACCGTGTATAACTGGTTAGAAACGAGGTAAAATCCAGATAACAAAAAATAAGCTGTCAGCAGGCTACAATGTTTGTCACAATTTACTTTGTTTAATATTAATTTTTCCCTAAAAAAATATTTCAAAGTTAGAATCGTTTAGGGCTGAAAGTAACTTTAAGTCACTTAAACGTTTAGTGGCAAAGAAATGTATTTTTTTAATTCAAAAACATTTAAAATCCGTGGCAATTAATTGACAAGTAATTGCAGAAACATATGCTGGCAATGTAGCCAATTTTTGGAAAGTGCGTTCATGGAGCCTCTGTCATGTGAAATTGGCACCAAACCGAACTGAAACCGAAACCAAAAACAGCAAATATATTTCCACAATTTTGGGAACATCGTTGAGTTTCCATTTATTTATGACTGTTTGGGGCCCGCAGATGTTTTTCCTTCTTCCCTTATTTTAATGTTTTCCCCATTCGCGAGCAAGCTTTTCGCTTTATCAGCAGTTTGTTATGCCAACTGGTCCACTTCGACATCCTTCCTCTTTGTATGTTTGAGTGTGGATTTAATTTTATGCCCGCTCAATATTTCATCTTTACTTTACGTACATAAATGCCACACATATATATGCATAAGTGAAATTTTTCGAACAGAAATTGAAATATTTATGTGTGTTTGCCTTATTTGTTTTGTATTGTCCTTGTTGTGCTCTTTAGCGTTGTCCTTTCGTTGTCCTTGCCGGCCACATTGTCATTTGCTTCAAGTGTCAAGCGCTGCTGAGTGGCCAACGATGTCGCCATTTCTGGCTGTTGCCCCCGCCTTCCGGTCTTTTCCTTCTTTTCTCTCCTGTATTTTTATCGACAGTGCTGAGAAATTGAGACATTTTTAGACCCACATTTAAATGAGTATTTCCTCAGTCTTAAGTTCTATTAAAAAAAAAAAACAAAACAATTTTTAAAATTTTTTTTGAATAATGGTTTCGGTAAGCACAATATTTTTTTTCTTTTTTTTTACAAAAATTTCAATTTTTTTGTAACTTTTCTCGAAATAATATCTTTTCAGAAATCACTAAGGTTCTGAAACTAGTTAAAAATAGTTTAAGGATAGAATTCTGTTGAATATTATGAAAGACAACGAATATTTTTGAAGTGATTTCAAAACGGTGTTAATATTTGTGGCACGGCATTTTGTTTTGTTTCTTTCGGTTAGTAAGAATATTGTTTAATAATGTTTTGTTTCTCATTATTGATAATTTAACAATATTCTCAATATAATGATACATTAAGAATTTCTTGGCACTACTTGCTTAGAGGTATTTTCAATTAACGGTAACTTAATATATTTAAAACATAATTTTTTAACAGCGATTTGTTATTCCCGCTTTGCCCAACACTGCTCCTGAAGTCCACTTCCCATTTTTGTCCACTCCCTTTTTCGGGGTATATTTGCGTTGGCGGCAAAGTGTCTCGTCGCCTTCGTTTTCCTTTTTTTTTTGTCCACCATCTGAAAATTTTCTGTTTGTTTTGCATTTTCCGCTTTCCTCCTGCGGTTGTCCTTTTCCCCTTGGTTCCTGGTGATATATTCAGATATTTCCAACGCTGTTCCTTCAATTTTTTCCCGCATATCTTTTGAACTCGTTTATTTTTCCCGCTGTGTGTGACTGGGGGAGGAGAGAGTGGTCCTGTAAAATGTGTTTATGCTGCCCAACTGCCATTTTCCCTCTCGATAGCATCTTACTGCCCGAACCCAAGCGTTTATGTGGAGTGCATAATGGTTGTTTACTTTTTAGCCTTCCCTTTCTCTCTTTTCCTTCGTTGTGTGAAGTTCGGTTTCCCCATCAGTTTTTCTTACGATTTTCATTCACTTTGAAGTCTGCCACCGTCATTGGAGATTTCTGCTGGGCAAATTTCATTTCAGTACTCTGACTAAGGGTTTTCGGACTTTGATCGAAGCTGAATTGGGGAATTTACCAGGAACTTAAAGGTATGATAATTATTTTTTAACGTTAAAGAGCTTATTGCAACCTTTTTTTAAGCCTTAAACATTTCTTTGTAATTTAATTTGGTATTTAATATAAAGTTTCTATGTAAAAAGTATTCCTTGCAATTATTCTAAATTTAAAAAAGTAAAAGTAAACATTATTAGGAAAATAGTATTTTTAATTATATTTAACCTGTACTGTTTCCCTTAATTTTGCCAAAAGGGTATTTCACTTTAATGAATCCTTCCCCTTTTCCTGTTTCTTCGGTTTATTTTCCTTGGTCTTTCATCAAATTCGCGTACTCGGCTTACTCCACTACGGTTATCATTTTATTCTCTATGTGCGAGCATCTTTTTTAGGTTTTTTTTTTTATCACTTTGTGCACTGGCACTTGGGCAAAGCGACGCCGGCAAAGTGTCCTTAAAATAGTCATCAAATAACAAGAACACAGCCACAATGGCACAACTCCTTTTCCCCAGCTTTGTTGGATTTTGTATGCATGTGCATGCGCCGAGCTCTTCATAAAAGGTGTTGAATTCAATGCCTGCTTTGAATTACAGGCGACAGCCTGCATGAATATGGGTATTTGCATGGGCTTTAAGTCTTTAATTTGCCGGGAGCTGGATGCCTGGGAAACGGCAGGCGGTCTGTGGACAGGACAACACTAATTGGTCGTGTCGCAGTCACGTAGGCAACTCAGTTGTTCAGTAGCTCTATCTGTATCTGTAGCTGAATCCGTATCTGTATCTGTCGGATGGAGCAGGCCAATCAAACCCACAGACTGCTGACCAGACGGCCAAACATGTGTATATCGTTTATTTTATTTGTCATCTAGAACAAAAGTCAAATGCTTTGTATGCAAATAGCAAAAACCGAGTTACAGGAAACCTAAGCATACGCCAATGTCAGTGTTGTATCCTGTATCTCTGGTCAATGTATCTTTTACTTGAGCCAGTTTGTCACTCATTCTGGCTTATTCAGTATTTGCTGTTTTCGGTTTTTGGTTGTGTGATAAAAATCTGGGTTTTGTTTAGGCATTCAAATAAATAAATGCATGTTTTGCTGGCTTGTTTATTATGCAGTATGCATGACCACTTATTCCTGAGGATTTCTGCCCGTCAAAGGATCAGCCCCAAAGTTGTAGTTGGCAAAGCTTCCTTGCAAACTTGTAAAATATTGCTATTTGCATACTCCATTTCGATGCGTTTTGTAATACAATTAAGGCCAGCTGCCTCCTCTTTTGTGTATAATCTGATGATCTCTTATTTGACTTGCTTCGTTACTTGGTTTTTTTCTTTGGTTAGTTGCAAAGTTTTTAGCAAATTTCTCATGCATATATGCAAATGTGAATGTCCTCTTTACGGTCACACAAGCACGAAGATGGCAAGGGATAATCCTTGAGCAAACAGCCATGGAAATGTATGGAAAAAGTCAAGCTGCCCATGCGGATTAAAATGAATAGTCCTATTTGGCATATGCAGGTTTTCAACTATTGTTCATATTTTAAAATACGTTCTTTACTGAATGCATTAAATTATTCAAAAGTACATTTTTTCAACCCGAAATGCCAACTTTAAAACTATCCCTGTTTTGGAGACAAATTAATTAAAAATTGCATAAAACGTAAACAAATTTGCTGCGCTAACAATGTTTCCTGCCGGCAACTTGCCGACAAATTAAATTCCTTGCGCGGACAACGTTCAAGTTAGTTACACTCTTGCACTCGGTCAACAAAGATGTACGGCAAATAAAACAACCGGAGGAACGGAGAAAGGATGGCTGCATCAACAAACCGGAGGCAAACATCCAAAGGATAACAGTCACGCGAACAACATCAACAAAAACATTCACGTTGCTCACGTTGGCCCCATAAAAAGAGCTTTAACTTCATTTTTGGTGGAGCAACGCAGGTGGTAGGAGCTCAAAGGAAGTACCCACTGATTGAATGTCCTTTTTTCCAGTCAGGATATACAGATAACTACATAACTCTGCAAAGTGCAGAGCTAAGAAATGGAATCTTGGTTAAGAGACTTTGAGGTCCAAATGGAAAAGATTTGCTCTTGAATTTATTAATCGGTTAAAAGCCTTTAAATTAACTTTTAACTTGTATTGCTTAAAATGCTAAAACTGTATTCAGTCAATTTCAAATCCCGATAACACATTTAAATAGGCTTATAAATATCCATACAATGCATTTTATTACCTATCATATTCATAACCAATGAGAAAACATGTAAGTGATAGCTCTTATTTTAGCTTGAATGGTTCTGCCAAAGCGATTTTTGCCTAACTTTGCCCCATTTAGCAACACCTTTCGAACTTGCAAATTAATTTTCTGCTTGGCCAAATCACAAGCTGTTTATTTGGATGGCAAGACCTGAGAAACTGCAACTGCAACTACAAGCTGCAGATGGCAGACAAAGCAAAAGGAAATGTAACATATAAGCTGGCGTTAATTACATTTCCATTCCCATTGGCGAAAATATCTATTTCAGGCCCGGAGACAAGTGCAACCGAGTTGATAGAGTTACTCAATGCCTTTTGTAGTTTGCAAGCTTAACAGCACAAAAAGCGATTTTCTGCATTTGATATTTTGTGGTTGTTTATTGTCAACTTACCCTGCAAATTGAAAATTCGATGTAGATTCAGTCGACCGCAATGTTAAAGCGCTTCTGCAAATATATGAAGAGTGGAAAGACAATAATGAAAATCAGTTTTCACATTTAAATGCAACGTAAATACTGGCTTAACTTATGGTTGATTTATTTATTTGATTTAGAATTCAGCATTTTATTTCCCTGTTTTTTTGCGAGCACAGTCGTACAATAACCAAATAAACAAGCAAATAAATGTGCGATTCGGCGCGTTTATAGTTCAATTACGGTGAAAACGATTTCAGAAGTGAGCAGAAAAACCTCCCCAAGTCCCCGCCTCATTTCAAGCATTGCGGATTCAAAGGCAAAAACCATTTACCCGGGTACTCGGAAACTTTTCTCGCTTTGTATAAATATTAATGAAGTAGGCCATAGAAGTGCGAGTCGACTCGAGTTCAGTTTGTTGTTGAATGGAGCATTTGTAACAAGAAATCCTGGCCTATTTATAAGTTTTCCATTCATTGTTACTCCCACTTCTGCCCGGCCTTCCCCCACTTGAGTTGCCGTTTATTTGCATATGATTCGCATAATGGTGCGGAGAGAAATGTACTGGTTAAGTCACGCATCGCCGCTTCAATTGCTGATGGCGGCCACTCGGTGCCTAATTAGCAAATGTTTTGGTTATTAAATGGTCCATGAAATAAGCGGGCACCGTACATTAAATTTAAGCGACGCTTTGGGCTAGTGAAAATATACACAAAAAGGAAATATTACTAGTTGTTTCCACTTCCAATTTAATTGTAAACTATAATGCCCAAATTGAAGGTGTTCAAAATTTAAATAGTATTTGTAACAGCACATTAAGCCATTAAAATATCTTAAAAATAAGTTTATAAATAAAGTTTCCTTCCATAAATAAAAAACTATAACATCATAAATATGTATAGCTTTTTATGTCTGTGTAGAGTTTTAAGTCGAAATCATGATTGAGGAACAGATGGAGTGGTTGAGCTTCCTGTTCCTCATTCCGATCTCAAGCGGAGACAAAAGGCTTGATTAGAGTCTCAAGAGTCTAGAGTGTTGCTATTTCTGCTCCCTGCCACGCCCATATCTCCCCCGTCCGCCTTCCAGTTGAGTCCATTAAAATCCACTCAAGTGCACTTAAACACTTCCGAGTGCTCTGGCTGGCAGTTTTGCGTTCGCTCTAATGACAGTTAAGATTTAAATCTTATATATACGTATCCTTCTGTGCTGTCTCTTGATATTTTGTACTCTTTGCGTAGGGCTCCAAAATAAAATAAATATGTGGAATAGATTTAAATTGTTTGCAACGCTAGTAAACGGTGAATTAGTTAATAATTAAATTTAAAAGTTTACTGGCTTTCTTATTCTGGGGTTATTCTGAGTAATTTCATATACATTTACAATTTTCTCCCAGTGGAACGCCTAAATGCAGAAAAAATAATGGTATATGTTCGTCAGACTCTAACGTGTTTTTTTTATAGCTTAGAAGCTTACCGAGTAATATAATATTTAAAAATATTCTCTAAAAAACCAATAAAGGGTATTCAAAACCTCGTTCCTTCCCACATTTTCCATGCCACCTCTGTCAGTCTGCTTGCTATGTGGATGAGTAATCGCCTCCGCCCACAATATTCGCCTGGGGGAAAAGCAACTTGTCTGTAATCAAGGAAACTGTAAGTTTTCGCCTTAACTGTTATCGCTTGTGATTCATTTTTGTAGCGCTTTTGAATGGTCCATAAAATGTCGCCGGGTGCAAGTGCAATAGTGCAACCAGTTGCATGTCCTTCCTCCTTTTCCTCGGGCTTCCCCGGGTTTTCCCGGAAAACCCCCTATTACTACCACGCCCATTTTCCTTGCCACCTGCAACATTGTTCGGTGGTATTTGCCGGCCATAAAGGACACCAAAGTTCAGGCCGAAAGGTGTCGCGTCTTGGGCCGATCCACTAAGTCGCTTCGCTTTAATTAAATTGAGAAAGTTTTCGCGCTGCGGAAAGTTTGCAGTTTATTTTTTGGGGACCCGCCAAAAAGACAAAAACCGAAGCCTTTTTTAAAGTGTGCTTTAAATGTAAATGGCATTTGGTTGGCCTCCTTTTTCGTTTAGTACCTCTCTGTATTTTTCTATTTTTCGCCAGGACATTCGTTTTAATGGCAGCCGTGTGTGAGCCGATTTGATTGTATTGAGGCTCGTTCTAAGTCCCAACTAACGAGGCCATCAACAGGATGCTGCGCAGGCTGGAAAAGGACCAAAACCAAAGGCAGCACAAAAGCCGATTGCAGTTGGTTGGTGATTAGAGTGGGCTAAAAGTGGAAGCCAGCCAGCGACACGTTGCGAAAATTGCCTTAACTGTAATTGCCAGGACCTGCTTGGCCCGGCCTCCTTTCAGCACCCAGCCTTCCCTCAAATTAGGCTTAAACGCTTGAGACAGCAGCCTATCCAATCGCCGGCTGTCTTTCAGGGGCTTCGATACTCTCCATCTGATTGCTTTTTTCCAAACGAAATGCGCCCCAAACGAGAGCTAAGCTGTGGCAGAGATTACCTGGATTTTAACTAGTTTTAGAGTGGAAATGTCTAGTGCAACGAAAGGATACATTTTGTGGACAAAAGTTGAGATTTGGCTTATATTTAGCTGAAAAGAGGTAATTTCATATTTTGAAAATCATTTCTTGGTATGGAAAGAGCAGCATATGTTAAGTATATTCATTTTAAATTTGGCCCCGTTTACTTACCATTAAATAGCTTTCTAATATCGGAATAGAATTATTAAATTAAACTATCCACTTTAATTATAGCTTCAAATAAATTCTTCCAGAGATATTTTGCTGCCTAAATTGAATTTGAAAATATTTTAAAACCGTTTGGTTGTATCTATCTAATTGATAGTTAAATCCATACTAAACAACAGGGACAACTTAAACAGAAATTTATGCTGGCTATAGGTTAAAAACAAATTTGTTCAAGGATTTTCACGCGGAATGTGGAATGAAATTCTGGAAAATTGGCTCTGATGCTAAAACCGTTAGCACAATATTCCAATTTAATTGTGGAAAATAATTTCCGCAGCATTCTCCTTTCTGGAAAATAAAAATTTCTCAAATTTCATTAAGCTCTTCGTTCAGGTCCGCTCTGTTTGCCAAACAAGAGCGATAAATTTCCAGCTTATGCCAGTGGCCATAAAAACAATTTTATGGCACATTTCTTCTTTTTTTTTTACGCCAGCAACGAGGGAACAAAAAATAATGCAATTAAACAAATAAATTTCCCAATAAACCTATTTGAGGCGGGCCAAGAGAAAAAAAGGCAAAGCGAAGCGGGTATAAAAATGGCGTAATTTACCTCAATTAACACACCAGCTGGGCGTTGGCTGGATGTGGGCAGTTCGATGCAGGGGGAGGTGTATGTGTGTGCTGGTGTGGGTTTAATTGCAGGCAATGGTCAGTCAGACAAAGAGCAGGAACCCAGCATCCGTGGCCAGCCACGCCCCGTTCTGGATTTAATCGCCCCCCTAAACGACACTCCAAGTGTTCGCAGTCGAAGCCATTAAAAACCGAAGGGAGCTGACTTAAACTGGCCCTTATTTCTCCTGATCTTTCTTTTTTTTTGCCCCCTTTTTGGGCAAGTAATGACCAAAAACAAATCGACAAGGAGCAGCATCATCAGCATCAGCAGAAGCGGCAGGACATGTCTGGTCCTGGAGCCATTTAATGCCCATGTAAATGTGAGCTAACAAACCTACCTGGGCGCCATTAAAGTTCACTTTATGTTGGTCATTTTACAGTATAAACCAGTGGAAAAAGGAGAGAGATCCTGAGACTCTCGGCTGCAACTGTTTCTAATTGTGTGCCAGCCTGCATAAAAATGCTAATTTTATGTTCTGCACACACATAGCTGAAACAAGTTTCCATCTTGTAAATATTTTCATTATGGTCGGGCAAGCGGCAACAGCTGTCCCTTCGGGACATAAAACGCCTGTTTATGAACGTGCCCAGAATGGCCGAGATGTTTCCACTATAGTGGCCCCATTTGGAAAGTTCAGGGCTCAAATGCCAAACCGGGGAGAATCCCAAATAATCGGTATGTACGAGTATTCTCGGGCTGGACACTAAGTGCGGTAATAATTTGCGAAAGATAAAACTTCAGTAATTACTCTCAGTTAAAAATGATTGTAACAATTTTCGGGTAATGTTCTTTTAAAAGGTTTTTGCTATTAACCTTAACCTGACTTGTAATAAACTATAAATTTAATTTTAAATCAGTTTTGTCAAAAAGTGTGAGGCTAAGGGCGTTAATTAATCAATAAATATATAATATTGGCATTTTAAAACAATTTGTAGAGCTTTTCTTTGCTAAAAATAAAGACTTTTTAATAAACCATGCTGACCCTTCCAGACTCGCTCACTAAATACTTAATATTTAACAAAGCATTTACCTATTTTTCATAAGTGCTGTTTAAATAAAATGTGAATATGCCAAAGCGTTTTAGACTGCATTAAACTTGTGTGAAATTTCTACATAAGATGACTGATATTAGATGAAACTTCAGATTGCACTTGGCAAATTATTTTGATATAAATAAAAATTATTATAGATATTTTGGACTAAACCTTATAACAACTAAGCTAGATAGTAAGTTTGCAATATGCAACGATATTTTTAAAAAAACAGCAAATTCCCTAGATGTTTTTACACTAATTAAACGGGCTTTCGTAGAGTACATTTATATTTAGAGAAAAAACTAATAACAGATAAAGAGTCAGACTGCATTATATCTCGACATGTGTGTACGTTCGTAGTGTATAGTATCTATGAGTGTGTTTCCCCTGACTGCCTTTGTGCTTATTTTACTTGTTTCAGCTTCTGTTGCCGCATTTATTGTTGTTTTTACCCGCTTTGTGCGAACGTTGCTCGAGTTTCTGCTTTTGTTTCGCAGCTGCAGCTTTTCTGCTTTTGCCATTGTTTTTGCCGGCTTTGCCGTTCGGCGTTTCTTGTTTTGCCAGCTTCCGTTTCCGCCGTAAGTATTTTAAGTGTGTGTGTGTGTCTGTGTGTTTTGCCTTCC